AGTATCTGAGGCATTGTATAGATTATTCACACAGAGATCTTGTAGAGATATGAAAGTAATCCTATGGTTGGTAGTGGTTAATTTTTTTAAATCACTTTTCTTTTTAAATGATAACATCTGTGATTCACCCCACATACACATGCATCTGGCATCCTCAAAATTGTGTCAGCTCCACTGGAGACATCCTCCAGATATCCTAGGGCAAGTCTGACTCCTTTTCCTATTCATATTTTCTTTAGTTCTATTTCTACTTCTTCATACAATGCATTATTAATTGTAATATTCAGGCTGATATTTGATTACTCTGCTGTCATTAATAGAGAGACTAGTGTGTTACAGCAATCTGGAGACACTTCTTCAATTTTTTACCTATTTATTGTCCCTCTTCAAGCTTTATGCTTGAATGTTCCTAGGATGATCTGGCTAAATTAGGTCTCTGACCAAGCTTTTGGTAAACTTAATTTCCTTCCGTAAATTCTTACTGTTTTATGCAATGACGATGCTCATAATGCTGCTTCAACCTCCACAGTATCCCCACCTCCACCCACTACATGATCCCCACCTGTAAGCATTTGGACACTTCCCTAGGAACCATCCAGGGCTCTGATTAGAGAGACTTTTGCCTTACCTTGCTTGGAAAAAAACCTTCATTCAACTTTCTTCTCATTCAGAAGTTCCAAGCCTTGCCAATAAGAGTAATCCTCCCCTCCCCCTGCCTAGCTCCTCTTTATTTATTTATATACCCATTGTTTGGTAGAATACCTAGCATACAGTAAGATCTTCATAAATCTTCCTTCCTTCCTTCTCTCTGTTCTCTCTCCTCTTTCCTCTCTCTCTCTCTCTCTCTCTCTCTCTCTCTCTCTCTCTCTCTCTCTCTCTCTCTCTCTCTCTCTCTTCTCTCTCCTCTTTCTCTCTCTCTCTCCAATTATTTAATCTATCCTATCCTATCAATTATCTATCACCACTCTCCCTATCTACCCAGTTAGTTGTGATATGTATAAAATGTGAATACTTGCTTTATCCTTTCCCACATTCACCACACATACTGGTTTTTTCCAGGTCCCCAGGCAGATAGAGAGCTACACATGGACAAGTAGAAGGATAGATACCTTGCTAGCTAGTAAGCTGTGTTTACATGTATCTATTACTCTTGTCCTCTGCAAGGTTTTTTTTTAAATTTTTATTTATTTTATTCTGAACTTAAGAAATTTTAAAAAAACATAGTAGAGTAGAAAAAAAGATGATTGTGCACAAAATTGCAAATCTGTTCTGTATAACTTGTTATTCCTTTTAAGCATGTAACAAAGTTATCATATAATTTTCTTTTCTTTTTCCCAAATAAGTTTATATGCTAAGAAGCTGATATTGCTTTTAGCTGTCATGTCTGTTTGACAAAGAGATAAAGTATTTTTTTGGTTAAAGTAGTTTCCAGATTCTTTTAGTCTCATAGGGACTCAATTTAATGTTCTTTTTTTTGTGTCCCTTTTTTTTTAAGCACCCAAAGCATATTTAAATATCTCAGGTTGGTGTTATTTAAATCCCATGCCATATCTTTTGCTTATTTATATTCTTTCTTCTAATTTGGAATTGATTTTTATTTTTCCTGTAATCAATAAATTGTCTGTATACAACCTTTGATACTGAAATGACTCCTTTTGGTCAACCAGTCATTTACAGACTGTTAAGCTAGAATGAATTTCTGTACTTTCTTCTGTGATGTTATCGGCTGCTCACCAGGTACAGAACCTCTGATGAATATTGAAAACATCTATGATACCTAGGCATAAGGTGTCTTTATGCTCAGTCCAATTCAGTTTGACAAACATATATTAAATAGCCATTATGTGAAGCCACTCTCCAAGGTGTATCAATTATAAAGGGGGGGGTGGGGGTGGAGGGGTCAGGCTGGGGGGGTGCGCCTGAAGATCTCTGTGTCTTCTATTATGGCTAGCGAGCTTGGGAGTTCCCACTCCCTGTTGAATCCTGAAGGTCACAAATTAGAGTACCATTTGGCATACTGACACGTTTGCATGAGATAGAGTGATTGAAATTTATAGACTAGCTTTGTAGCTTTTTTCTACCCTTCCTTCACTTCTGTCTATTGCAGCAGATATATTAAAATTAGGTGATTGCCTCATTTATGAATTGTCTGGTTTTTTGGTCTCACTGAAAGACTAGAATGTGCATCAATTAACTGCAAGCTTTGACTTCATTCTCTAAACCAGAGGAATCAAACTTATGCCCCATAGGCCTCTTTCCTCCACAAAAAACAAAAACAAAACAAAACAAAACAAAAAACCTCCCAGTGTTGCCAGAACAGGATTAAAATGTAATTGGGAAAGATTTTACAAACAAATAAACTTCAATGAAACATAGATAATGCTTATTTGTGGTTTTCTGAGTCAATATGCCACCAGATATATTCTATATCTCCTATAGGACACAGTATGAAATGGGAGAAAGCATTTGGGATCTGGTGTTGAAAGACCTGAGTGGAGATTTGGATTTCTTTTACTACCTGTGTGACCTTGAGACCAATTGCTTCTCTTTCCTGGGCCTCAGTTTTTTTTTTTCGTTTGAAGTCAGGGGTTTGAACTGCGTGGTCTCTGAGGGCCTTTCCAGGTTTGAATTGGTGATTCTATAACATCTATGATTCTATAATTCCCTGTTGAGATAAAAGAGCTAGATAGAGGTCTTGAACGTATTTATAGATTTTTATTTGTACATGTGGCTAGTACTATGGTGGCAGGGGAAGAGAACACTGTGCTATTTTTAGAATAAGCCTCCATTTCCAGGGTAAACACTAGTCAAATCTAATGCCTATGTTTTGCTTTCCTCTACTGCAGTTTCTACGCAAGGTCAACCAAAAGACAAACAAGTGCTTATCTTATCTCACAACCCCATGGTCGATACCAGACACCCAGATTGAGAAATTTTGATCCCTTCACCTCAAACAAAGCAAACTGCTGTCATTCCAGCGACTGAGCAATTATGAACCCAGATGACTGTATCTTTGCTCTTATATTCTAAGAACCTGAGGGAAACGGTTTATATTCAGAAGCCACATGCCCCCATAGAAACATTTCTGTATTCCCAGCTGATGCTTCTCCCTGCCTTGACTTGTAACACAGAAAATACAGTTTTTCTGCTGACTTGTATTCTCAGTTGTAACAAAGTAGCTTTTCTATCCATGATAGCATGCTGTGCTAAATGAACAAAAAGGTTCTAGCTTAGAAAACTAAGGGAAACTAGAGGGGAAGTTGGTCTTTCCACTGAACACAATTGAGAACAGGAAGATCTCGGTGCCCAGAATATTATCCAACTAGAACCAGAGAGGAAAAAATAGGATTCTGTTTCTTTTCAAAACATAATCCAAATGGTATATTGTTACAGCATAAAAATCCCTGCAAACATTGTTTTTATAGTTATGTTTTGTTATTTTATTTTTACCAATAAATTTTACATAGGAAATCCCCAAAAGTTGTTAATGATGGACAATGTAACTATTTTTGAGAACAAATGTTTAAATGCAAAATTACCAATGCTAACATTTTTTTTCTTTTTTGTGTTTTTTTTTCTTCCTTTTTTTGTGGGAGATAGTGAGGGGAAGTCTTAGAATACTATGAATTTCCTATCTTCTTTCCACTTTAAGGCTTGAAAATAGCATATGCATAAAGTTGCCTAGTCCTTCTAAAAGGGCCTGGAATTGTTTTCCTTCTTCACATTGGTTCTTCTCGGTCCTTGTCTACTGCTGCAACAGATTCCTGGAAGTAGAAATGGCAAAAAGCCTAGCAGGCATTGTGGAGCATATAGTACATCTAATTTTGCAACACAAAAAATCTGAGTAATAGAGATAAAATTAAAGAGTGTGATCATTTCGTTTACTTAGTGACTACATCATTGTATCAATGTACCTACATTTTACATTGAAATTTTCAGGTGTGTCAGGAGGGCTAACTTTCCAGGTAGAAAGGGTAGGGAGTCACCTGATGCAGAATACCAGGAAAACTCTCCATTCTGAAATATGGTCCCTGATGATGCCTAAGATTACACTGTTACTGATTTATTCCTTTATGCTGAAAATTAGACACTCCGCATGATTTTCTTTAAAAAAAAATGGGAGCATGATTACAAAATCCCTAAATAAGTCTCTATATGAAGTACCAGGAAATCTCTTTTTCAAATTATCCTCCCTGTTGATATGTTGATATATAAAATTCTACTATTGTGATTTATTTCTTTTAGACATGCTTCTTTCTGTGGTCTTTTTTTTTAATGGGAGATTAATATGTAAAGCAAAATGAATCCCTCAGCGCTTCAGTAGGAATAAATTGACTAGAGGAATTTCTTCCCTAGACAGAGCTTTCCTCTCTGACAGCAGAAGAATGCTAGACTCCTCTTTGGGAAGATGGAATTCAGACAAAGGCCACTGAAAGACTGATTTCATCTTTGTCACATTTCCCCCCCTCAGGATCAGCCCTACAATTAATTGGTCAAATTATCCTTTTTGTAAAGGGAAGAAGCATTACGTATTGGAAAGAATATTGGATTTGGAATCAGAGAACCTGGGTTCAGATCCCACCTCTGCCACTTAATACCTAGGAGACCATGAGCAAGGCACTTAATGTATATGGGCTTTAATTTCCTTATCTGTAAAAATGAGGTGGAATTGTAGCCTAAGATACCCTCCTTCTATAGTTTCCTAATGTCTATGATCCAATTGTAATGCATGATAAAGGGATGGCCCCTTCAGACTTTCCTGGATGAAGTATCAGAGGGGCCAGTAGCTAACTCAAAGTGAGTGGGGCAATTTGTTGTTAGGAACTATGCAATAATCAGTTTCTTCTCTCTCTCTCTCTCTCTCTCTCTCTCTCTCTCTCTCTCTCTCTCTCTCTCTCTCTCTCTCTCTCTCTCTCTCCACCCCTTCTCTCTCTCTGTCTCTCTCTGTCTCTGTCTCTGTCTCTCTCTGTCTCTCTGTCTCTCTCTCCTTTGCTTTGCAGTTTCTGCTTTGCGGCATCTGTGGAATTCTGTGTGCCAAAAAAAAGTCCGGGCTCGTGGTAAGTTTTTGCATTGTTATTCTATGTCTCCTCAGGGCCCAGGGTTGACTGGCCTCCTCTCCTCTATGGCCTCCATGTGCTGAAGGCCACTTATGTATTTGAGATGTAATGAGGGCAAAGAAGCAAACCCACCCAACCTGTCCTCCCTCTCAGAAAAACAGTGGGGTCACTGGATAGCAGCACAACAGGGAAAGCTTGAATGGGCTCTCTAAATAGCCCTAGAATATCACTTCCGATCCTGGCAGCGGTGCCAACTTCTCATTTTCCACTTTATAGACTGCAGGCAAGTCACATGACTCTCCCAGCAACAAGCCAAAGCAATTAGCTGGAGTCCCGGGGAACTTTAACTGCCTAAGTACAGACCTGGACCTAAGGGATCCCAACTGACTTTGATTGCAAACCTAATTTTGCAACTGGGCACCCTGCAGCCATCAAAAGTCGGGCTGGTTTTGATTTTTCTTTTTTTAGTTCCTCTTGATTTTAACACCCTGCATGACTCTTTTAAGCTCTGAGCCCTGAACACCCCATGTCTAAAGTGCTTACAGATGTTCATCTTGCACTGAGCATCAATGCCCGGGCTGGCAGGGGGCCTTCAATTGTAGAAAGCACTGCTGGGTGGACATTCATCTGGGTACACAGGGCAATGTGTGTGCCTCAGTGGCCAACTCCTGCTATCTTTACTTTACTTTACATGAGGCTAGAAAAGGGAAGGGGGATAACAGGATCTCCATTATATAGGTTGCTTTGAAAAGACAAAACAAAAACAATATCAACTTTTGCAAATTAGTGGAGTTAATAATGGCCATAAGCCCCAGAAGTGAGTGGTTTGATGTCTCCCAGAATAAGGGAAGGGTTACCATACACAGTCACAAATCCTGTTGATGGTGGTAGGGGACAGGGTAGGGAGAGAAGATTAGAAGACATGAGCACAGTTTAGGCCTCTTTAGTTGATCTCTTGGCAGGTTGCTTCTCTCTGAGAGAAGCAGCATGGGGCAGGAAAAAAGAGCTCTGGCATTGGAGTGAGAGGCACTGGGTTCAAATTCTGCCTTTTTTTCTTGCTACTTGTGTGACATTGGGCAAGTGACTTTATCTCCTTGTGCCTCAGTTTCCTCCTCTGTAAAATGAAAGGGTTGGACTAGAGTGTATCTGAAGCCCTATCCAGCTCTTAGTCCATGCACCACAGTACAGCAAGTTTGCTGCCACCCAACCAAACACTTGGAGTGGATAAAAGTGGGACATTAGCAAAGACCAAAAAGGCCCTCACAGAAATGTGTCCTTGGAGGGAGAAGAGTTTAAGCTTGGGAACTTGCCATTCTCCACCTTCACACAATCTTCTCACCGTTGCTCCTTCTGTCTGCCAGGGCACTGACTCCATACGGTTAGGCATTCTCTCTAGTTGGGATGGCAAAGTCAAAAGGGGATGATCTTCCTCTTTCTGACCCCATTTATCAAGCAGAACATCAGATCACAGCCTCTGCCCTATGTCCTGGCCCTTTTCTCCAGTAGTATTTAGAAACACCAGTCCGTGGATTATATTGCCGTATTCTCTTGTTCCATATGCAGGAAGATTCATAAAAATTATTATGACTTATGTGTCAACCTCTGGTGTAGATGATAAACTAATAGAGAAATTCTTAGAAGCACTGAATAAGATCCTTCATATACATTATGCCATAGTAGAAAAGGCACTAAATTTGGAGATAGGAAGACAGGTTTAAGTCTCCTGAACCCTCACAGACACTTGATGGCTATGCTGATAGGCAAGTCATTTAACCATCCTGTGCCTCAGTTTCCTTAGGTGTAAACAGGGTTTGCTAATAGTTTCTAATCCCTTTTCCAATTCTAAATCTATGATTTTTATCACACCCATAGATTGCACCAGAGATTACTTTCCCCGCTTGGGTCTTCTGTCTTACCTGAATATCTTGGTGGATGGTCGAAAGGCTTAATCCGATGATAACTCAATGATAACTGAGTGTCTTCTATGTATGATTCTCCACTGGGTCACTTGCTTTGTTTAGAGAAAGATCATTTCTTTCAATTAAGTCCTTATTTCATTAGTCATAAAGGAACTTCTTGAACCAATACTATCATGATTATCCATTGGACTTAAAATATATGAGAAATCAGCAATAACCTGGAAATCTTGGTCAAATACATTTCTAATTTTTGAGATCTATACTGACAACAACACAAACTCTCTACTCAATAGGTTAGTGTACTATGATGAATAGTGAACTCTCTTAAAGCCTGGAAGACTTGACTACATGACCCTGGAAAGTCACTAAACCTCTCAGTACTCTAGGTAGTTAAGACTATAAATTGCAGAGAAAGTATTAACCCGCATTTAGAATGAGTTTACTCACCTGGGAGTTCTCAAACCCTCCCAATGTTGTTATTGTTGTTTTCAGTCATATCTGACTTGTCTGTGACCCTATTTGGGGTTTTCTTGACAAGGGTACTAGAGTAGTAGTTTGCCATTTCCTTCTCTAGCTCATTTTACAAATGAGGAAACTGAGGCAAACATGATTAAGTGCCTTGCCCATGATCACACAACTAGTGTGTGAAGCCAGATTTGAACTCACAAAGATGAGTCTTGCTGAATCCAGGCCTGCCACTGCACCACCTAGCTCTTCCAATTTCTATCAATAAGGTATATCATTTGTGGAGACTGCAACAAATTTAGCCATGACATCACAGAATGTTAGAGTCAAATATGATCCTTAAAGCATTCTTGTCCAGTATCCCACCTATCAAAAGGATCCCCTATATAACCTCCAGGATTTGTTGTTGTCACATTCTTAAAATGATGGTGAGCTTTCCATTTCCTTTGAATAGGGTCAAAAAGTGTCTTTTCCTCACCACCAGCCCTCTGTCCAAGTCGACATCAATTCAAGATTGAACACTGGTGGGCTATAATCTATCAATCAGCTATCAACTCACATAATAATATTATCACCCAGGTAGCATTTATCAGTCCTGTTCACATGGCTATCCAGACAGAATTGTTCAAAAACACCTTGCAATTCTTTGCCTCTTCAGTACCTAGGAGAGTGCTTGTCCCGGAGTAGGCTTTTTATAATGTCCTGATGATTAATTTATTGATTGCTAAAACCAAGATGCTGGGTGTTTTCAATATTTCCTTGATCTACAGAGAATGCTATCTAATAAAATAAATGAAATTTGTTTCTTAGAGAGCCCAAGCTCACTCTTAGTAATTCCTGTTTTATTTTCCAAGTGTTCACAAATGTTCTGAATTCACAGATTAATCTATTGTTTCTAGGACCTATGACCTCCCTGCTTTGTGAAAACTGAGACTTCATTTGTCCATCCCCAGATCTAGGCTTTTAGTCTACTTTTACCAACTCCCTTCAAATCATTCCCCTTCACTCACTCTCTGTTCCAGTTGCCTTACTCACTATTCTCTAAACTTTGTATTCCCTCTCCCCGCCCCCACCACTCTTCCCCATGCCTTTCACAAGCTTTCTCTCGTGCTTGGAATTCATTCCCATCTCATCTCCCCCTTTTAGAATATTTAACTTTCTCTAAGATTCACCCTCCTGAGATTAGGTGATTTTTGACTTTTCTGTGTAAATGTAGTTTCCCCGTAGTTGAGTATAAATGCCTGATGGTAGGCACCATTCTGTGATTTGTCTTTATATTCTCAAGACCTAACCCAGTGCCATGATAGAGTAGGAGCCTGGTAAAAGTTTCTTGAATTTAATCAAATTGAATTTTTACTAGCTATGCATGTGTTTAAACATAGAAGCCTGTAACATTGTGTTACATGTATACTTACATGTATATATATATGCATATACATATATAAAAGAATTTACAAAAATCATTTCATGCTGATGTAAATTTACAGAGTATTTGTTATAAAATCAGTCAAATTATGAGCATTTATTAATCTCCTTTGAATGTACCCAGAGCAGACATCCTCCTTTAGGAGATATCACAAGAATGTGGTCTCATACTGTGCAAAAGATGTTTCACATTCAATATGGAGACACACTAATTCCTTCCTGGCCACCCCACTTTTCTATGTGCCATCTTTTCCTATTAAAACATAAGCTCCTGGAGGGCAAGGACGTATTCACCAGCACTCAGCACAGTGTTTGGCACATAGCAAAAGTACTTAAGGAGTACACTTTCATTCATTCAATCATTCAGTCAATAAACATTTATTAAGTGTCTACTAAGTGCCAGGCACTGAACTAAGCCCTTGGGACACAAAGAAAGGGAAAAGATAGCACCTGCTGTCAAGGAGCTCAGAGCCTCATTGATTCATTCATTCATTCTACCTCCCGTCACCTCTTCCCTGACAACATCCACCCTCAGACCCTTTCCAGGCCTACTGGATGAAAAGAACCTAACCCAGCATGTCCCACTCCCTTGATTTCCCTTTGTCACCCCACCTTTAACCTTCAAGCCACCTAGACTTCATGGGGCTACGGGGTAGGAAAAGTCACCTGACTGTTCAAACAACTTGAATGAGCTAATAGTCACCAACTACAAGCCTTGTAGTGAGATGGAGGACTGCTAAGCATCACTATCTGCAGTACCCCTGCTTGCCAGCCTGTTAGACACTAACACTGATCTGCTGATGCTCCCTATGGATTTCTGGGCCTTGTCATCTGCCCTGAGACAAAACTGGCTGATGTGAGCTATGTCCCTCAATTAGAGTGTGATCTCCTTGAGGACACAGACTACCTTGTTTTTTTCTATTAGTATCCCCAGCTTTAAGCACTAGCCTTGGCATATAGAAAGTGCTTAATGAATACCCATTTTCATGAATTCACTTGTCATATGCCCTCTGAGTTAGGTTCTTCTCCCCACATTAATCCCAACACCCCATCTCTTATTTCTCAATAGATGATCCTTTTTTCGGCCTGCTGCATCTGTGGGCTAATTGGCGGCATCCTGAATTTCCAGTTCCTCCGAGCAGTCACCAAGAAGACGTCCTCACTCTACCCACTACGCCTGGCCTCCATGTCTCTGGCCTGCATTGGGATTGGGGGCTGTACCCTTTCTTCTTGGCTTACTTGCCGCTTGGCCAGCTACGAACAAAGACGCATGTTCTCTGAGAGAGAACACTCCTTGCACCATTCCCACGAAATGGCAGAAAAAGTGAGTTCTGGGCCGGGCCCCATCACTGCCCATTTGTGTTGAAGGGTGCGCTCTGCGGCTGGGGGAACCTGCTGCCACTTTTAGATGAGAAAATTTCTGGGAGATCCATGGCGGCCATCATCCTCTAGAGGCTTAGTCCTGCTGGATTGGTGAGAGTTATTTCTCAGTATTATATCTTTATGCTTCATGGATATACCCATTTCTGCATAATTCTCTGGCATCTCTGTCTATTCAGAGACAACAGTCCTAAAAGCAGCATTTCCCAAATAATGGAATGCCTCATTAATATGAATGCTCATGTGTTCATACTGGAGGAAACACAGTCCCTGGAATATCCTGTGATCACTAACACCAGTTCAAGGAAGACAATAAATTCCCTTCTCCTTCTACCCCAACTTTTCAGCCAGGGGCTTTCAATGATATAAATCACATCTTCAAATGTAAAAATAGTAAGGAGGGGAAAAGGATGATTTATTGAATCAACACAGAGGACCTGGATTCAAATCCTAGTTCAGATACTCACTAGGTGAATCCATCTAGGTGATACAGTAGGTAGAGTGTTGCACCTTGAGTCAGGAAGACCTCAGTTCAAATCTGATGATCTGGGCAAATCATTTTACGCCTACCAGCCCCATTCTCTTAGTTTGAACAATGGGAGTAGTAATATCACCTGCCTCCCAGGTTATCTTAAAGAAAAAATGAATTAATATTTGTAAAGACGTTTGTGAACCTTGAAGTACAATAAAAATGCTAGCACTTAGGAAGAGTAGTTGGTAGTGGTGCAAGACACGTTGGTTCCCTGGTCTGCCATTTCCTCATTAAAATGAAGGTGTTGGCCTCCCAAGGTCTCCCTCAGTTCTCAATCATCTCTTGGTCCTGTGTAACATTTTCTTTGCTCCTCACCTGATCAGTTGACCCATTTCTGGTGTCTTTCTTGAAAGTTAAATAATTTGACAGTCTTATTTCAGGAAATCCCCTTTAGCGGGAAATCCTTATAGTCCCATGTAACATCAGAACAAGTCACTCTGTATTTCTATTGAATACGGCCCATATTGCTTTAGTCTGCTCTCGCTACTGGAATGCTTGAGAAGAGGAATAATGCCTTTAAGAAAAGGAAATCTAGAAAAATAATTCTCACATCATCACTTGCATTGCATAATGAGGAGAAAAATGCCAAGAGTTAGGGCAGAAGGAAGAATAATCTGCTCCTTTAGCATCTTAATTTGTCATGTCAGAGAGGAAATGTGGGCTGGAAACAGTGCCCTTTATTAGTGAAACTTTACATGAGTTTTCAGTTTTGGTGCAACTTTGAGAGGAAAATTAAGGAGAGATTGCTAAGAATTCCAAATAAAAGCAAGGTCAGACCTATTGACATAAGTCCTCCAAAAAGAAATTCATCTTTGACTTAATGGGTTTTCAAATGGACAGAGGTGAACCAGGAGAAGCAGTTACCCATTTTCTCCTAACAAATGTTGGCAATATTTTGCCCTACAGAGATTTCCTCATTCATTGTGAATACTGGCTGTTTTGTGCTATATACATATATATATATATATATATATATATGTATACATTTGTACATAATTTATACTAGCATGATTTAGCCATGTTTTACATGTATATGTCTGTGCAATATTTACCATATGATTATTATATTTATATTAGAGATTGAGGGGTATTGAAATAACCGACTTGCCCAGCTGCCCGGTGGTGCCCCCGACACCAGAGTTACCTACAAGGTACGCTGAATTCTAGGGAGTTACCATGTTGTTAAGTCACATCAGGAAGTACTTGCCTTTCAGTGGGCATCATGAAGACAGCCAATCAGCATGGGCTGATGCTGTGATATCATTTCCACAGGGGCCACTTCTGGGAGCACCACTTCTGGGAAGTGACCTCCTTCTCCATGGCACAGTCTTGCTGCTTAAAAGTTGGTTGAATATTTTCAATATTCAGCCTGTCTGGAGGCATCCAAGCACATTTCTGCTTGGATGATTCATGCCTTTTCAAACTTTTGCTGCATCACATCTGTAGTTCAGAACCATTGTGCCTAGGTTGTCCTTTTGATGTTAGTATAACCTGTGTCAGGATATAGAAGAACTGTCTATATCTCTCTTGACAAGATTTCATTAACAGAGTTTGATGCTAATACAGTGAAAACTCTCTTAAGGTGCTTCCATTTTTAAAGTTTTCCTAAGTGATATATTTTTAAAGCAAATCCCATGTGAAGGATGGAGAAAAATAGAGTACCCATTTCTAATTTTACTAGCATGATTAAAACTACATACAATTTTATCTTTACACATGTACACATGTATATTTTTTAGTTTATTTGGTAAAAAATGCATATTTACAAATGGGCAGCTTGGCTCAGACCAAATGAGAATAAATACTCTTGTTTCTCTTAGATATGCCTGCCTAAAAACCATCCAAATGAAAAATGAAGTCCACCTCCTTCTTGTCAGCAGTTTTACTAGGTCTGAATGAAGGTGATATAAGTGAAATAAAAAAAAATGTTTCCTGTAGAAAGCTTTCTGAAATATTTTTAACCATTAATTTAAAAAAAAAGCATATTTTATTGGTTGGTATGGATATCATTTTTATTCTTCATATATATATATATATATAAAGCTGATGTTCAAAAGAATGAGAGGATAAGGAATGGAGTCATTGTTTCTGAAAAGTGATTGTTTTGAACATTTTGTTTAATTGGAAAAAGAGTACAAAGGAAGGGAAAATCATTTTTGAAGAGCCTGAGCTGAACTTGGTGGTGGAGAAGAGTGATTGGGAGGGGACTCCTTCCAAGTTCAGGTTTACAAATGGCAACATTATCTGACAAAGTTTCAGATGCCATTCAGTCACTTCCAGTGACCACTCAATACATTTTCCTAACTTGTGCCTTACCTCTTTTTCCTGAAAAACTCTCAAATCCAGCTTTTGTAGTAGGCTAGAATTTTAGGAATATGGTAAAGGACCTTGGCCCTAAACACTTCCTCACTTTAAGTTCTTTGGCCTCTGTGGGCCTCATTTTCTTCATATGTACAATGAGATGTTTGGACTAATGACCCCCCCACCCCCTTCCATGCCCCAGGTTTAGAGCCCAATGAGCCTATGATCCTCTTCCAGGGCCTACAGTTTCAAGAAATCATTTTATTTTACTCTTGAAGACTTTCTACTCTTTAAGAGCATCTGTAAAAATGGCCCTTTGCAAAGGTAACTTATCAGACCATTAATTCAATTGGAGTAAGAGGAAAATCTGTTGATAATTAGTTGAAAACAGGAGAGAAGACCTGGAGTTACTGGTGGAATGTTGTAGGTATGTCATAGAAGAAAGAGGGGTCCAGAAATATGGGGTCGAAGAATATGAAAAGATCAGACACTTTGTCACCATTTATGAAAAGAAAACAATCCTTTCAAAATTAGCATGTACGTTGGGGGATCAGGGACCCATGAAACCTCATCTCCTTACCCCTCCATCTTGTTCACCACTGATTTCCTCTAAATAGAAAAAAAAATGCCATTTTTTTCAGAAAGTTTGAATTCAAAAAAAAATATATTGTAAAGTAACCTCCCCTCAGATGCCACTCTCTGACCCCCTTTTTTCAATCCACCTTTACACAAACTCTATAAAAATCATAGTATGCAACCATAAAGATTGATGTTGCATTGGTATCATTCTCTTCTGTCCTTTTGCAAAAGGACCTGTACAGGACGAGTGAGAGAGAGAGAGAGAGAGAGAGAGAGAGAGAGAGAGAGAGAGAGA